TTTAAGAATAGAGTATCGACTGTGAACCTAGCCAATATCATAAACTATGTAAAAACATCTCTTAAATTCTGGTTCCGTTGGCTTTTTTAACGTTGAGTATTTAATTTCTACTTTAAGTATACTTATTAACGTATCGATATCTTTAGGTCATTTTGTCGGCAACCTATATATACATATAAACTAATTAATGTCTTCAAGTAACTTATTATACGGAGATATAGATATTTCAAATTCATGCTTGATAGAGTTTAATCGTATGTTCATTTATTTATTTTATTATACCTATTGATCGTATGATTTTCGTTGATCCAACATTTTTCACGACTGAATCTAATCGTAAGTTAAATTCCTAAGGTCAGCTCCAGGTCTCTCAGTTAAATGAGATCTTCCGATACTGATAATGTTTTACCTCGACAAATGGTGTTGAGATGAATGGCCTTAAAATGTAGTACATTTCAAGGTCAAACAGTCGACAATGTCTAACTATGTAATATTTTCACTCTTTGTATAGTAACATAAACAGGATACTACTTGAAAATAAGGCCTCTGGAATTGAGTGGCTAGTACGCAAAATTGAGCTGGGAAAAATATGGGCCAACAAGCGATGTGACATGTTTATGTCATTGTTTCTTACTAACAATTTGGGATACAAATTACATAAGTTTCATATCATTGAAACGTCTTGTTGTGAAACACCACGGACTGATTTTCTGCTATGGTATATGATATTTATTCTCATTTATTTCGGTTGATAATTATTTCTAAAATAAATGATAAATTGGGAACGATTTATATTTATAAGGACTGTTTATATGGCTTGTAAAGATTTATTGTTATTACGTGTTGACATGATCTACACTAAATGTTTGACAGACAAATTAGGCGAATCATTTTGAGCTATCGTGATCATATATATTTGACCATATCAATTGTTCTTTTGTGCTGAGAGCGTGAGCCGATCAATGTTTCACCATGGTTGAAAAACTGAATGCACTAAACGGCCATCTTCTAGTATGGAGCCTTTCGACTGTGTACCTTCACTACTCCGCAGGCGGGGATCAAACCAAGAAGAGTCTGTCTCACACACAAGCGCTCAATCTCTAAGTCAATGAGCCGGCATACAACGGTGCTAATATCCAACATCAATCAATCCAAGACATTGGGTAACTATATTTCATTTCCTTCTGTGGGTACCTGCCTCATATTCAACACGGATTAGCACCATTGATCAGGTCTTTTCACTAGAACTTCGGAAATTTCCTCTCGAAGCTAGTCACTAGTGAGCACATTGTAATTATCGGTATAAGGTTGTGGAGATTGTTGCTGTTATCGTGATTTCAAACCGATCAATGTACGACCACCATTTTAATGAGAAGCCGCAAACAATGGAGTCCGAACCGTGTTGAGTAGATTGATTAAAATTAGACATTACTACTAATTGAGCCCAGCTCAGTGGTTTGGAGAGATTGGAGGTTCCAAGTTCGAGCCCCGCGTACGTGATCGTGGATGAGCACCTGTAATGAGTCTTATACTAGAACGAAACGGCCATTCAGTCCTTCCACATTTTCAATGGTTACCTGAAATTAGTCGATTCACGATCTCAATAAAAACCCAATAATCGCCATGACACTATAGCGATTATGACTCTCTTGAAATCTTGATTATTTCTTATATGCGTATTCCTGAGTGTTATGTCTTTTGACTCTGCTAGTTTTACCACGTGTTTAATTCCACAAATTAGAACAGTGACTTATATGACCTTGATACTGTACCAAACCAATGACGCGTTAACCAGTACGAGCTGCCCAGAGTCGACTCTGATTCCTGGCTGGTCCTTCCGTCTAGCCATGCCTGTTGAGTCCAGAACACAATTTCTACTGTATGAACCATATATTTCAGACATACTGGGTATATGTACAAACAAAGTAGACAGAATCATACCACAAAACAGGAAACAACAACTATACAAGATCAGACTAAAAAAGGCCGTGATTGTGGGAGACTGAAACTAATAAATTGGGAATAACTTGGGAACAGTACATCGTATAATAGTAGTCAACAGGTCAAACGGAAGCTTGTAATAAGAGAAATGTGTACATGCATATAATATAGTCACTTAAGGGTTATATAATAAGAACATATGTATAATAACAGTCCATAGATAAATCTTAGAATTTACCCGTAATTTAATTTTCACTAGGTTATGCCAATGAGTATGTTTGCTTATCACTTTATTCGTCATGGGTCTTTACTTTATCTTTTTTATGTGAGTACAAACGTTGAGTTGTAGTGGCATTGGACAATAGCCACACAATCCACAAAGCTGTGAACACGAGACTACTCAGAAAATAGATATTCAATATTTAACGCGGAGAAATACCTAACAATGGAGAAGGCGCGAACAATGAATTGAATTGACTAGAGTTGATCGAACGGCATGGCTCGGCCATGCAGGCGTGGTCCCTGCTGCATGTAATCTTATTTCTTCTATTCATATTAAATATATTGTTCTTTCTCTAGCCTAACCTTGTTCTACATCATGTATTGGTAATTGGTACGATACAGTGAGTTGGCGTAGTCGATGGTGTGACTTCCACGTAAGATCTTATAGATTAGGCAGTTATATCATGACAAATCTACAATTTTAGGATTAGGTCTATTATTAACGCAGTACTAATATCATAGTAGACCATAATTCTACAGAGTAACTTCGCCTGTACCTCTCCTAGGATTACTGACAGTCTTAAGTTCGGGTAAAAGATAAGGGTTGGGTATGGAGTCGGCAACCCCATCCAGCGGAAAAAAATCTTTCTAAAAGGACGGCAACCAGATTAGACAAATCCCGTCATAAATCAGAGGTTTCATAAGCTTAGAGGGTGTATATGCGTCTACACTAAAACGCATACTTAATTTACGCTAACTTTTGGACATAAAGTTATTCTAATTTTTCCATTTATTCTGTCAACTGTATATCTAGCCTAATCAACTGTTTATGTGTACTCTTGGGTTTTTTATACATGTGTACATGATAATACGTATTCACTTTCGTAAGCGACGTTTGAAAACTGAGTCATCCTGTTATTCTCCCAGTCGTTGTACTACCGAACTCCTGTGTTCTTAATGAGGTCGAAAACGTGATTCTGAAATGGTCTTGGCTCCAACCACAGGATTCTTGAAGCTGGACACATAGTCATCGAGGTGACTGACATTCAATATGTAGCATTCGGAGGAGGTCTGTAATGGCAAACACGGGAACAACTGATCATTTTTTCATGAGTCGGCCTTGCAGGCGCTGTCGCTACTCTTTCCCCTTTTACTTTATATTGAATATACTGTTCACTCTAGCCTATATGTGTTCTCTGAAGTGATGGACTCCATACTGTTGATTGTCATGATAAATCAGTCGGCTTAGACGGTGATGGGACTTCCACGTCAAATCAGATAGTCATGATAAATGAACAGTTTTAAGACCTATTATTATAGTAGTACCAATTCATAACTTGACCATAATCCTACAATGCCTTCTCACTGCCACGAACAGACGTTACTTTGGACGTGCTGGCCGGTTCTAAGTGGTTCTCAACACCAGATTTAGCATCTGGGTGTTGGCGAATCGAAGTACATGCAGGCGATCGACATAAGACTGCTTTTATCATACCATCAGTCTGTGTGAGTTTCAAACAATGCCATATGAGTTAATTATTGCACATTCTGCTTTCCGGTAGTGAATGAATCAAACACTGGAATGGTACCACACTTTTGCTTAGTGTATTCGATTAATGTTATAGTACATAGAGCAACTGTTGAAGAACACTTAGAAAATTTTCATACAGTTGCAGAACGTCTCTAGAGAGTTGGTTTAGGAGTACAACTATCTAAATGTTACCTGTTGGGGAAGCACTTTAAATACCCAAGACATGTCGTTGATGATCAAGGAATACACTCAAGTAGAGAAAAAATTGATGCTATTCGAAACTGGGTTGTAGCGGTAAATAAATCCCCAAAATAAATAGCTCTGTAAGTTTTTGACATTGGATGCTGACCACACATTTAATGGACTCACCTAGCTGAAGGCGCTCGGTCATGCATCCGCTACAGGGTTGTTCCACAAACTGCTGATGAACTCGGCAGCATCCTGAACTTAGTAACTTATTGCAGAAGGTTTATCTGCTGGTATTCAGAGACTGCAGCTTCCCTTCATACATTTATGATGGTAAACAAAACTGTGATAATTAGGAGTATTCGAATTATAGTACAAACTAAGAATCCCAGAAATAACGCAACTGGATCAAGAAGTACTAGATAAGCGCAAACGAATGTACTGGATTTAGAATTCAAAATCCAGCACTCAACAAGTGCAAAGGAATCATTAGTTCTAACAAGCACAACAAAAACCCCGAAACCAATAGCTCTGTAAATCTTCGACATTTGATGCTGACCACATACGTTTCAATGGACTCACCTAGCTGAAGGAGCTTGGACATGTGTCCGCAGCAGATCACGAGTAAGAACGCCGCGCCGCAACCACTGGCCAGTTTAGATCAGTCACTTCCCGATATATTGATAACCTATCAAATATAATTTCGGACCTCCTCTCTGACTTCTGATTTCACCGGGTGGGCACGATTCAATTTTAAGTGTTATTCGTTAAATTGTTGTCAAACTAAAAATACCTGTAGTATCTTCACCTTATTAGGATGGAACGTAAACTTTGAATGACCTGAAAAGTGCCAACAATCTTTCGACCAGTTGAAAGAGTCTCTGAGTTCGACACTGATTTCAACATATTCGGGCAACGAATCCGGAAACTGTAATGGTGAATAATACTTTGAAAAACCAGAGTTCTCGGTCATCGAAAGAAATTCAGGTTATGAGTTGAGAAGGTAGATGCATTTAGTTAGAACTTAGTTAGGCTGAGAATTTATAAAGATTTCATTGGGAGATTTTTTCCAACGGCAATTCTAGCCAACTGATTGAGTTGCTCATTACAAGGACATTTATTCTTCCCCGCCAATCATGAACGTTAGGCGTACGGTGCTTTCGTCCTTGACCAAACACGTTGATCGTATACGCAATGTTTGTATCCTTGCACATGTTGATCATGGTAATTATTTTGCGAAGACTGTTTTCGCTATAATAATAGTGGTTTAAAGTTTTCCCCATCATAAAAGGTAGTGTATTTGACATGGTCGTAAGTTGCTAGTTTTAACCTTAGTTGCTGCGAAGATATGCGGTGTTTGCAATCTGATCTACACTGCTGATGTGCAAATGTTAGTTCAGGTCTCTGCGCTGTTGTTTATAGCAATACTATTGTGTTTTACTGGTGGACCAGCATCGCTTTCCCAGAAGTTTCGTTTCTCTCATCGAGTAGTGAGCTACTGGAATTCTCTACCAGAACACGTAATATGAGCACCTTTTTTTGATATTTTCAGAATATTGGTTGATAAAACTATTCTAATTACTGAAGAAATTCTATTGGAAATTTTAGTTTAAATACCTCTACATTTTAACGCTACAGGCAACAGTTAGAGAAACAAAAATCGTCTATGCGCTAGTTTTAGGCTAGTAGTTAACTAGGTGAGCGTTTCTCTATTTTGAGGCAACTGACTGGTTATTTTCGTCTAGATTATTGTGTGCTTCCTTATTATTTTATCCTAAGTTTATCCAAGAGCTTAAATATTGCTGAAGTCGTTTTTAGTACAGTTTAAGTCAGTAGCCAACATTCTAAAGACAAATGGCATTAACCGATGCTGTGGTTTCTTAGAAAATCTCATACATATATAAATGAATGACGTCTGCAGTAATAAGGTTAGGTCTATCGACCTATATTAATCCTTGCAGTTTGTAACAATGTGGAGGTCTAATCTCGTTTTGAATTTATCAACGGAAGGTTTTGATATTATGTGTTCTGGTAGAGAATTTCAGCATTTCACTACTCGGTGCAAGGAACGAAACTCCAGGCGTATACGGTTTGATCTCGGTTTTTGAACTTAGAATGTCCTCTCAAGTGATCATTCCTAGACGGAAGGAAAAGGCAACGCAGTAATACACAGGTCAACGTTCAGGATACGATAGGCCAATACTAGATCACCCTGTAGTCTTTGGTAAGGTAATAGATATAAGTTGAAGTGTCTCAGTCTGTCTGCCAGAGAGACGTTTTACCATTTTAGTCCCTCGTTGTTGGACTCATTCGAGCATATCTGCTTCATACTCAAAACAAAGACTCACCGCTTGAATCCAATATTTCAAATGCGGTCTCACGAAAGTTGGGCATAGTACTCTGAATATTTCTTCATCCAGTTACTGAAAAGACCTTCGACTAGTCAATAATACACTAAAGCCTTTGGCAGCAGTGGCCTTGCAGTTGCTCGTAGTTTTGAGATCGCTAATTATTGACTCCTAAATCTTTATAGTTCATTACTTTGGATAACACAACTCCACGTATTGTGTAGTGATATGAATCATCATAGTTATCTAATTGCATCGGCTTTCGTGGTATTGTACAAAAGTGTAAAAGGGTGTATACTAAGGTTTATTGAAGCCTTAGCCATACGAAAATTCAAACCCCCTCTGTGTATTAAAAAGCAGTTTGTTCTCACCTTAAACCTACCCTAGTAATATTAGGTTATTATCCAGAGTGATGAGGTTTCAAATTGTCTTCACATTATTTCTTCATTATCCTTGTCTCTTCTTACCCTCCATTTCTAGTCTAGTTGATCTTTTATTTTTATGCATAAATGTTCTTAACAAGTATATGTGTGGTCAGATTGTTCGAAATGTACTGCGTTAATATATCACATAGTGCTGATAATCTTCGTCTTATCACACTATCGAAATTTATCAAAGGGACTAATTGCTTTAAGTTATTCATTTCTCCATAAGCGCACATCTGCAGACTGTAGTCCCAATATATTAGATTACTAAAACTGTATGTATTATTGATTTGTAACTCTGATTCACTGACATTTTCTGTCGGGATACCGGGTTGCCCGTTTAAAATCGAGGCTTGCAATTCTCTTCCGGACTCTTTTATTCCCTGACACTTTTGTGAGAGCGTCCAAGACACGTAAATACGGTCGGCGGTATTGATGTAGGAGTCACGAATGTATAGGTGTGTAAGAGCATGACTGTTCCCGGCCTCATCATGAGATTTTTATTGGTACTGAACAAATCGCCTTTTTTCATTACCGTAATGGTAAAATCATTCAATATTGGTTTTTTATTTACATTCAGCTGTGTATACAGCTTCTAAGCTTCATTGATGTAACAGTATCTGTCGCTCTATGCTCAACATTTTTACCATGATTTTGTGTTGTTGATAATGTAGGACAGTAGCAATCTTGATTCACAAGTTATATGGAAGGGTAGGTCCTAGATCCGAACCCCCCTTCACCTTTAGTTTGAGAAATCAGTAACTTTTTATCGAGTTTATTATTTTGGTTTTTTACTGACAGGTAAAACTACAATGGCTGACGCCTTGTTGGCTACCAATGGTATTGTTTCTTCGCGCCAATCAGGGAAATTGCGGTATATGGATAACACTGAGGGGGAGCAAGAGCGTGGCATAACGATGAAATCTAGTGTAATTGGTCTCATTTTCAACCGGAAAGTCTCCTCTGTAGATAAAAACGATGAAGATTATTATCTTGTGAATTTAGTGGACTCTCCTGGTCATGTTGACTTTTCTTCCGAAGTTTCGACAGCAGTTCGACTATGTGATGCTGCAATTATCGTTGTTGATGTTGTCGAAGGAGTATGTCCTCAGGTAAAGTGTTTGATTGTGAGATGACTCCTCTCATAGACACGTACGGTGCTCCGTCAAGCTTGGGATGAAAGACTAACTCTGTTATTGGCTTTAAATAAGATCGATCGATTGGTTGTAGAAATAAAACTAACTCCGTCACAGGCTTATGAAACCATGTGTCGAGTGATAGAACAAGTCAACTCCGTCCTTGCGGAAATGTTTTCTGCAGATATGACGCGTCAAAGAGATGGTATGTGGCAGACGAATATCGACGAACTTGTAAGTACTTATCCGTTTTGTACATGTATTCATTATCGGTTGCCAGATGAAAATTGATTAACACAAGCATGCCGTAAGTGTTCCTGTCCATGTTCATTAAGTAATCCATTAGTTGTGTCTGTTTCGCATTGGGTACTGTTGACTCCTTGGGATATTGTATACGTGGGATGAAACTATAGGACTGTCGCTTTGTTGGTCACATTGTATTATAATAGCCATTTTCGGTTGTTATTTCGAAATGCGTAAGCATCTTGGGGAATTGAGTAAAATGTAATGAATAAAGTGATAAAATGATACTTCACAATAACTATTTTTCCAGCATTAACTTGAAACATTAGATAGTTTTGTTAATTTATAATCTATTAGCTTATTACAGCCCATAGAGGGACTTACGAAAACCATCTAGTTTATTGCCTTACTGCACTAAATGTGGCTCAACATTGGTGTCAATGAAATTCTGGTTACTTATCTACATAAAGTGTAAGATGTATTTCAAGGTAAAATACTCTCAAAATGAACTGGTCTCTTCATCATTATTATCATTGCTTATATCCCACGTGATCTGTTTTTTTCTGTTTTGTGACATTTTCAAGCGTCTTCATTATTCGAGGATTGTAAACTAAGTATATAGGTTACATCTGACACTGATTGATCTCATTTAGGGTACCGTTGAAAACCGAACATCACTAGTCATACTAAACTAAGCTACAGCGAAATCATAAATCGGCCCAAGTTAGACTACGATTGAAAAGAGATGGATGCACTGAACGGCCATCTCTTCCTAGTATGGAACTCTTCATCTGTGTGCGTCCAAAACTTCCCAGGCGGAAATCAATCCAAGAACATTCAGTCTTATGCGCAGACGCTCAACCTCTAGATCATTGAGCCGGCATCCAACGGTGTTAATATCTCACATCAATCAATCGGAGACATTTGGCGACTATATTCCATTTTCTTCGGTGGGTAACTGCCTCACACAACACGAATTAGCTCCGCTGGTCACGGCATCCATCCATCCACTTTCAAATGTAATTCATATTGATAATTCCTTAACCGGAGATAGTTACATCACCTGTTGATAATTGGTCTGAGTGATAGTTCTTTCAGGTTCTAATAATAACTTGTAGTTTCTACTATCAGCTAAATGCTGTTCATGACAAAATACATCAAATAACATCATTAGTTAATTTAGAATTTGAGTTATATGTGTTTGGTTTAGGAACTTTAAGTTTCATTATCTAAGGAATTATAAGTGTATATTGCATTGGATCTGCAAAATGCTACACGCCAGTTGTTTGCTACTCTTTGACTTCCAGTCTTCTCTTCTATTGATTTTTAATTATAGTTTCCATCAAACACCACTATATTCCGTGAATTTTATGAACTTATATAAATTCTACTATACATTTTCCAGAACCTTTCAAGTGATGTACAACATGATAATTACGTGTATGATTGGAGCAATAATCTTGGGAAAGCTGACGATTCTAACTTGTACTTTTCACCTGAAAAAGGGAATGTTGTATTCTGCTCTTCTGTCGATTCGTGGGGATTTCGTGTAGACCAATTTTGCCAGACCTGGTCTGAACGCCTATCTATTCCTTGCTCAATTTTACAAAAATCCCTATGGGGTGATTTTTATCTAACTTCCTCTCCTACAGAATTAAATAAAATGATTGTCAAACCTAATGCTAGGCAAAAACAGAAGAAGTCAATTTTCGTTCAGTTGGTCTTAGAACCTTTATGGAATGCATATCAAGTAAAAAATATTACAGTTTCTAGTGTATGCATGTCTTAATATATTTTTTCCGTGCTTAGACAAAGGATAGAATAGGATGTAAAGAAACTTCACACTTAGACATCTGGATGATGCTAGAATTCAGTTTGATGTAATGATGGCTGTCCAAGTCTGTCATCGAAGTAAGAATTCCCGAAACAGCGCACTTTAAGGCAGATAAAAGTAGATGAGCTCATCTGGGCGTGTCACACTTTGAATTCGTAATAAGCACTCAATCAAATACAAAGGAATCATCAGTTAGTGCAAATACCACAACCGCAAAAGCTTAAATGGGAATCCATATTTTAGTAATCTTTTGTACGCCTCCTTAGGTTCATCGTGTGTCTGTCTGGCTGTGTATTGGGCATAGTGCGTGCATGATCTGGTTCCTGGAATTGTGTCTGACCAAAATATTGGTCTCGTGTTCTTCAATCATTGATATCTAGAATTCGAACCATAGATTCTGCAACATTCTTCACAATCCACGTGACTGGTCGAATATCATTTCCACTATACTATGTAACTTATGCAGACTCTAAATACCTCATATTCGAGCGGAGAATCCTTCCTTTTAATAACTGTGATGGAGTTTCTTTTCCGTCACAGAATTTTTATCATTTCTATATTGCAGTAGAAATGTGTCTACTCTCCTTTCCAGTTCATCATATGTTGAATGTTTTGTGATGTAGAATGTACTCATTAGTATTAGAGTTCCCAACGGAGATTTCAACGGAGTCACCTGGGTCTTTGTAACGTATTCGGTTGTTGTAACTGGATTGGATTTGAGCCATAGATTTATAAACCATTTTAGCGGACCTTTCGTAGATAGTGGGAAATCAGTTCCTCGATACTTTGTAACAGCAGACTGTGAAGGATATTCTTTTGTCTAAGCGATTTCGTGGATACGCACTGCTGAGGAGTCCCATACTAGGACGAAACAGCCGTCTAGTGCTTCCAGGTTTCTCATGGTATTCTAGCTTTAATTGACTCATGAATTCTACTTTACGACATTCAAAATTTGTACATCTTGCATGATTTAGAAGTGGTTCTTTGAGAGTTTTGTAAGGAAGTGAAATTGGTTTATCTGGAAATGCCAAATATTTTAGTAAGTTGTAGACATTCTTTCCGATAAATTTCAGGAAACGAGCCTTAATTTTATTATCCTTCACATCTTTCCTGGTCATAATCCAGATTTCAAACCTTTCTTGTAATCCTCGAAAGCTTCAGAATTTGAATGTATATCTAACTGCTCAATCACAGTCCCGATCGCGACGCCATTATGATAATTAGAAGTACTCAGATTGATTTGCTAAGTAAGAATTCCTGAAATAGCGCAATTTAAGGCAGATGGAACTAGATGAGCACAACCGGGTGTGTTATATTTGGAATTCGTAATAAGCGCTCAATCAAATACAAAGGAATCATCAGTTAGTAGTAATACCACACTATTATTGATATCAGTTTCAAAATCCATATTTTAGTGTAGAGCTATAATATTTAAAAGCCCTTAATAAGTTCCCCCTGCTCACAACAAGTGGCTAATTATTTTACTGTTTCGTTTACTGTTCAAGACATTATTCTTTGAAGATAAACGTGATAAAGTGTTTGCAATGGCTCAAAAGGTTGGTGTAAATTTAGACCAACGTGTTATTCGTAATGTTGATAGTCGTGGAGTGTTACGTGCTTTCCTGAGTGTTTGGTTGTCGTTAGGTCATACACTTATGCATGCCATAACGGATATCTGTCCCAGTCCATCTTCAGCAGTGTCTGCTGACCGAGCTGTACATATGTTGTATGGAGATACAGTTTTATGTGATTCAACACTTACCAAAAAAGATTCTGTCATAACAATCGATCAAACTTCACGTGTACCAATTAATTCAATATATTCAACATCTGGGGCTAGCTTAGGTAAGTAATGATGTCTGTTATGGTTACGTATTTCATTAAATTTATGTTGTATGAAGTTTTGATTTAATCACACATATTTCATTGATTCACAGATTACTTATTCAACTAACTTTCCCAAGTTTACTATCGTAACCAATGGTTGGAGACTCTTGGTGACATGGCTCAGAATCGATCACAATGGCGTATATGTATACACTCTTTGCCTTCCTTAAACTATGAGATTAAATTCGCTTCACATCTTTCTTTCTACGAACTAATTCTTTCTTCCTGCACTATATCCTTATATGGAGTCTTTCTTTTATATATTACCAACATTGACTTAACTACTCATATGAATCCGGTGTTCATCTTGCTGTGCTAATACGGTATAGTAACTTGGACCGATGTGCCTGGTCCTACGTTGTAGCTGACTGACTGACTAAATATTATTGTTAATATGAACTTATTATTGTAGTACAACATAATGATTTGAAGCGAAAAAAGTTTTGGAGAATGAAGCTTAAAAATCTAACAATAAAATCATTAAAACACATCAAACTACAAGATGAAATGATGAATTTACTTCATATTATAAAATGTAAGTGTTAAAAATATACCAAGTAGAGGTATATATTGACTGAATAGCATCAAACTATTCACTATCTTCCTGATCAAATCTCTTAACTTCGATACTTGTTTTGCTTAGTATACGATTGTACAGCTTGAACTGATTGGAATGTAATGTCCATTCGATTGAAATTGTATCACTAATCATCAAAATAACTACAAGTAACACAGAACAATAGAAATAATGATGTAATTACAAGTCACATCAATTAATTGACCAAATACTTGGTTAGTGTATAAAACAATATGAATTAGGTTAAAAAAGAAGGTAATATAATCGGTTAAGTGCCAATGTAATTCTTTATATGTACTTCAGTAGACAACCTATATGCTAATAGGTTCGACTTTAGTACAGAGGTTGACCCAATGAGGTCGTAGTTATTAGGTTGCCCAAAATAAAAAAATCCATAAGTTTGAGAGGACTCCTATCAATTTTTGAACCATTATGAAGAGTTCCAAGACGAAAGTTGAAGATCGATGATGAAACCCAACATTACATTAGTGTGAACGAATTGACAAGGGTAAAACAGAACATTACACTTTATTACCAGAAAATGGTTGGTATATTGGTATCATGGATATTCTGTACAACCGATTTGGCAGGCCTCATTATATTAAAGAAGCATTTCTAACAGACTTAATGAAAAGCAATTCTTACAGCCAATCAACTAGTTTAAGCCGCAGATCTATAATGTTATCAAATAGTAAAGCGACAACACAGTCTAATCTCTATGCACTATCAAGAGGCGAAGCCGTCAACTTATTATTTATTTATTTTAACACATAGATATTGGTACAAGGAGGCACCAAATAGATATGCGCCACATAAATCATTCGATTTGTGTGAGGGCTGTGATACTGCCCGGGTGCCCAGACCGAAGCAGGTGGTTTTCTTAGAGGGCCACACCCGTCAATTGTCGAACTGAAAACTATGATCACTATTCAATAAGCTTAAGGTGAACTCATCATCTTAATTTTATGGCTATTTCACATTAAATGGTCTAAAGTTGATTTGTTCATGGTCTTAGCTACACTTTTGCTTAGTTATATTGGAAAGTGTTCACGAATGTAGGAACGCAATTTACAAAAAATTAGTCGATATAATTTGCTCAATGGAACTAGGTTGATTAATAAATACAGTAGGAATTAATTGCTTTAGGTAATTCATTTTTTAATCTAAGTGTCACCATCGAACACCGAGATAGCACTAGTTGTTCCTTTTATGCTTTGAACGTCCTCTAAATTATTCTGTGTAACCCTTGGATTATTGTTTTTAATGGTGCGTCATCTCGTAGTTGTAAGCGTATAAGCAGAGATCTTGTATTAACTATCCGCCCATCAACTACTCTTGTTTTCGCGACGTGTTTGTTTATAAACGTCTCAAGGTATCACTAGACCATTCTACCTTCATAATCCTCTTAACTTATGAACATGTCGACTTTATTAACTGCTTAGGAACCTGCAACTGTCCTGTACATCCACAGTAAATTTTATTTGTATTTTGATGATGATTCAACTGACGTATATAGTTAACATTACTTTAGAGTCATTTCAAAATGAACAGTTATTTTGTTAAGAATCCTTAAATCTATTTGTTGTAATATTAAAAGATGTATTTGTCTTCAACTCACATACTTAATATAATTTTAAACACGACAGTCAGTAGATGCATCTACTAAGCAAACATCATGAATCATCGACTTTGAGGTAGAACATTTTTATACGAATCATTTATTGAAAATTAGTGTGATTCTAATTTATTTACACTGTACATTAACTCACTAACTATCGTACAATTGATAATTTCACAGTTTCTTAGTTGATACTGTCAATACTGTTTCTTGTATCACTACAATTTATATTGTTCAGTTGACAAATTAATCATGGAGTCTTTTCTTATTTGAGTGATTAATTTCCTTCGTTCTACTTCTTTTCAATGTTTCAGCTCTTCAATCTTGTGATTCATCATCACTAGCTCCAACCATTATTTTTGTAGCTAAAGTATTTTGGACTGATAAATTACGTCTCACTTCAAATGTTACTAGTAATCCTGCTTCTAAAAATACCAAGTAATTTATTTGTGTAATTTTTCATACCTTCGTAAAAATCAATTTACGTAGTTTTAATTATTATTATTATTATTATTATTATCTTATCTACCAGGTACAGTTTCGTGTACCTGACTTTGAACCACACTATAATTCTGTTACCCACTTGCTCAAGCTGAAGTCAGTAGAGCAATGTTTGAACGTGCAACTTAGTGACTAAATGTTGAACGATTTCACTACTCAGCCGCATCTATCCACTCTACAAAAAAGTATTCTGTTAAGCCAGCTATTTAAATGAAAATGTTTTCAATCTTAGCTTAATTAAATCTCAACATTTTGCATTTGTTGACTGTCTATTCACTTTGTACCAAATATATTTATTATCTTTTCCATTTTATTGTCCGTTAGATATATCTTATTTGACACCTAAAAGATAAGTATTTTTTCTTCATTTGTGCTACTCAGGCTGATTAGCGTTTTCTTAGCAAGGTCGTTTTCTGCCGGTTGCTACTTCGAGATCAACAGTCTGGATTCCGTAAGGATCGGTCGTACACAAATCGAATCGTGACACTACGTATGACCATCGAGCAATAAATTGAATGGAACTCGTCACCATACATCGATTTCCTTAACTGTGAGAAAGAATTTTACAGTGTGGGTAGGAGAACTTTATGGTACCTTGTTCGACGCTATGGCGTATCTGAGAAGATCGTCAACATCATCCAGAATCCATACGACGGACTACACTGCAAAATAGTGTATGAAGGATAGCTACCAGATGCATTCCATGTGAGGACTGGAGTCAGAAAAGACTGCTTACTCTCCACCTTTCTCTTTCTTCAACTGGATTATTATGACTTCCACGTCTGAGGGGAAGCACGGAATACTATGAGCAGGTTAGATGCAACTAGACGATTTGGACTTCACATATGACCTGACTCTTCTATCCTAAACACACAAGCAAATATAAGTGAAGACAACCAGCGTAGCAGAAGCCTCCACATCATTAGGCCTCAACATACACAAGGGAAGAGCAAGATCCCCAAATACAGCACGTATAAAATCAACCGAATCACACTCGATGAAGAAGCTCTGGAAGAGGTGGAAGCTTTCACGTACCTGGGAAGCATCATCGATGAACAAGGAGGATCGGATGCAGACGTAAAGGCGACGATTGGCAAAGTGAGGGCAAAATTCATACAATTAAAGGTTATATGGGACTCAGAACAACTGTCAACCAATATCAAAATCAGAATCTTCATTGCGAACGTCAAGACAGTCCTACTGTACTAAGTTGAGGCGTGAAGAACTACTACAACCGTTATCAAACATGTACAATTATTTATAAACAGTTGTCTACGCAAGATACTCAATGTCCTTGGTCGGATATCATCAGCAACAACTTACTGTGGGAGAGGACATACCAACTTCCAGCTAAAGAGGAAATTATGAAAAGACGTTGGAAGTAGATAGGACACACATTAAGGAAATCATCAAACTGCGTTACGAAACGAGCGCTAACTTGGATTCTGTTGGGGATGATATATCCCAAAAACTCATATTTGTAATTTTATCATATCGATTAACTTATCGATTAAATGATTAAATAGCAGTCAATTGATGAACTGACTGATTAATGCTTAAAAATTTCCCATGGCAATATCGATTATATATGCTTGTATATATGCGTTTTAAATTGTGTTTGTGGGCTCGCTCGTTTTCTGGCTGTTTTGCAGAATATATTTCCCATACCAAGATTGGACTCCTCCTTCTAGATAGCGGGGCTGGAACGCATCAATAGCTAGATTACTGGTCTTTGGTCACTGAGTCTTGTTCTCGTTCGCAGATTAAGTGAACTCATGAAGCTTCAAACCTAACAGATTCCTTAAGGGAAACGAAAAAGAGGAATGCCAAAGAGCACACTACACCGAGAATCGAAAGCAGACATTGAATTGTAGCTTCAAGAAAAGAGGTTTCTTATTAGCCGTTAGTGTCACTATTTTCTTGCTTGTTACACGCAAGTGTTTCTTCAGGAAACCCTGTGGATATCCCAATCCAATCAACATATTATGAATGTGCTCTAATTTCTTATAACCTTTTTTAAAACCAACGTGTTTCTGTGTATTGTTGAAGATGAAAATGATCATCCAGTTAAGAACTTTCACCTCACGGTGGTTTTCAATCTTATATAATTTTCTACGTAATTTCTTTATCCTGATGACAAAGCGGTGTTTCAGAGTGATTAAGATATTTGAACCTCAGTCACTAGGTCTCAGGTTCGGAATTCGCCCCATCCATTTTACTTTGATCAATCGGGTAGTATCATTGCCCCTCAATTAGAGTGTGGCTCAAAGTTAAGTGGTCGCATTTGTACCTGTTATAGCTGTCTAACATGTTCATTATTTATATGCATGACAGATCTATGCAGTTTTCAAGAGAACAGGGCAGAGTTTAAAAGGTTTGAATAATTTTTTCTGGTTAGCGTTTTTTTAGCGAGTTATTTTTCTACGGGATGGGGACGCTAACCCCATGCCCAACCCTCCTCCTTTATCCGGGCTTGGGACCGGCAGTAGCCCCCAGAGGGACTCCAGGCGGAGTTTTTCAAGAGAACTAGTCTCTGTTCATTGTTTGACTTTATTCGCCTAACTCTATGCTACTGTCGTATTTAATTGTTTGAAATATTTGTAACCTTTAAAAAGTCATTTTGAATTCTGTATTTATTCTTTTTAGACAAGAGAGTACAGATTCTGATCAGATTTCACCATCATGTGATACAGCGAATACCGATGTAAATAATCATCCAAGTGGAATACAATCTTCTATCCCCAAACAAATTAATCTACGATCTCCTTTGTTACTGTGTAACCCATTCACAGATACTGATTTTATTGCTTTAGCTCGAGTATTTAGTGGTTCTGTTTATCCTGGTCAGAAATTGTTTGTTCTTGGACCAAAATTTAATGGTAGAAAAGTACGTAATAATTTACAGTCATAGATTCAATATTTGTAAGTGCTTTTATTTGTTAGAACGATCCAAAGTATTCCTCGGAAAATTTCAGAGGAGCCCAGAAAACGCTGGAAATTTTTTTATCCAATCAGCGTTTGATAGAAGCGCCTCAGAAACATGTAGAAAGTGAAGAGTCACGTGTTATATTTCTGAGTGGATAATTACTTATCCTGCTACTATATCTTGTATGGTTCCGGAGACTTCCAGAAGCCCGAAGCCATCTGAAATACTATAAATACCCTTGAATTTCTTTACATAAGCTAACTTTGGAGTAAAACGTCCTTTCCACACTTCGCACCTTTTCTCATATGTTCAAGTTACCCTGTAGATTTTGCATGGGTTATTAGGAGTGTTTGAGAAACGGATTCTAGCGTTCAGCTAGAAGACTTACCATTATAAAGCTGCATAGAACATTCTAATATATAACTAGTTTGATATTCTGAAATTTAATCAGTTAAGTGTGTCTGGCACATTAGTGAAGTTCACGTTCCATCAGGGGCTACAATCCAAATCATTTAGAGTATTTACAACCACAAACATTATTGTCGAGCTAGTCGAGGAGCGATTACTTCACTGTGAGACTGGTTTATGAATGGCATTCAGTCACTGAACTGTAAACAATAAAGTGATGAATAGTTTTCAGTTTTGATATATTGGATTCTATGTTGTCGCTTTGTTAACTGGCTAGTTTCTACAGTCTTTACTCATCAAATAAGTGATAACTAACGCTACTGGCTGGTTAGAACAAAATATCACTGATACGTTCTAACAACAACCTTTGTATCTTAAATTTATCTTGAAGTACCTTCCTTCTTCATGAATGTCTAAATATTGCATTTCAATAGGCTAAAGTTCTTTAATTTATCTAAACATTTTCATATATTATTCAAATTTTGGTTCCTGTTGTTTCAGGTTCACTGAACTAGCCAAGAACAACTGTTTAAATTTTAAAATACCAGTATGCATATCATGTTACATAGAGTAGCTTCCATTTTTTTAAGTTTACTTATTTTGCTGTCAGGTTCCTTCATATCTCTTGGATACAGATCCTGAAAGTCTCCCAATTGGTCCTGTTCGTTTGCGAAACGATGATGAAGATGCTGAAATTTCATTAACTGGAAATGAAACCGGTTCAATTGATAATTTTTGCACATTTAGTCCAATAAATTCTGGTTCCTTGCCTGTTAGTCGTTCAGGATCTGTTGGAGGTTCAGGCGAGTATCGATTGACTGGTCCTAAATATTTACGTCATGTTTACGTAGCTTGCGTTGTTCATGTCCTTCAGCTATTAGGAGGTCAGTCGGATTTCGTTAAACTTCTCGAACCTGTACCATCTGGAAACATAGTAGGTCTTACTGGACCAGATTTAATAGCTTGTCTACCGAAATCGGGTCTCTTGGTCAGTCGACTATCTCTAGTTTCTTCATTTAATAAAACAGATAGCAGTGAAACTGAACTGGCTCCTGTTCTCCCGTTAGCTGGATTAGCAGTTTGGCATGGGGCACCAGTAATTTCAGTTGCTGTTGAACCTGCATCTGCTACAAATCCTGAAGATGTTTATAGATTGGAACGTGGTCTTCGACTTTTAGATCGTGCTGATCCCTGTGCTGAGGTAAGTTTATTTTAATGTTACTATTTGCTAATAGTGAATTTATCAATAGCTGTAAAAATATAAGTTATATATTTTATCTCTGACTTAGTCATGATGTATTTTATAACACTACAAAAATTCGTTATTGATTTTGACGATATTTAGCTAAGGTTTGTAGTGAGACTATAAATCAAGGAATAAATGTTCCAGTTCACATAAGCTGGATATTTTAAGGTGGTAATTACTACTGACCAAAATGTAGAGCTGAGATAAATGTGAAATTACCGTTATTAGTTGCAGTCTTTCGACTTCTGTTTTATTTTAAGTTCCTTCCCAACATGTTTCACAATGTCATTTGAAGTGGAGAGGTGATGTAATGTTGTAAAATTAAGTATTTATTTAGTACTCTTCTTACATTAACCGGGAGAGCCACCAAAAGTAATATACTTCAAGACTAAGTAAGTAAATCCTGCACGTGTTACATACGAGTTACGTACATACATATTGCGTGTACTAGTAATGGCCTTATTAGTACAATATACTCTATTCAGTAGATTTCCGTTCTATGAGCTGGATGGTTTGATTGTGAAGCTTTCATTGTTCTTCTGAACAACATTCTCAACACAAATGTCAAATTTCTCTATATAGGACTTAGTTTCTCCTGTCATACAGTTAAGAACGAGACAAGAAAAACTAAGCTTTAGGAATGAAGGTATAGAATAGTTTTGAACTTGAACATTTAAGAGAAGATAAAGAATAAATATATCTACACCATTTTGACTGATTTTGAGCTATTACTCCTAATGAGATGGTTGGGCCACCTGTTACGAATGCCTGAACACCGATTACCACGACGTGCAATGCTAACCGGTGTTGGAGATGGTTGGAAGAAAGTTAAGGGCGGCCAAACCAAAACGTGGCATCAGTGCTTGAAGTCACTAACTTCTAGTCTGAGCCGTGTTGGTAGATGCAGACTACTTGGTTGGGGTCCGCGTGACTATTGTAAGCAATGGTCGGAGATTCTTGGTGACATGGCTCAGATTCGTTCACAATGGCGTAAGAGCATACACTCCCTGTCTTCCTTTAAACTATGAGATTAAAATCGCTTCATACCTTTCTACGAACCAATGCTTTCTTCCTGTATTATATCCTTATTGCAATCTTGTGTTAATGAGGTATGGCAACTTGAACCGATGCATATGCGTATGCCTAGTTCTACGTTGTAGCTGACTGACTGTCTCCTAATGTCTCCAACTATTAGTTACGATAATCACATAAACTTCAACTAGATGGTCTGAATATACAATTATCTTAATTTAAAATATTATTTTCTCTTTTATCCAGGTAACAATTACAGCCAATGGTGAATATATTATACGTGCTGCTGGTGAAATTCATTTACAAAAATGTATAGAAGATTTAATAAAATATTTTGCACCTGAAGTTGAATTACAAATATCTCCATTTGTTGTACCATTTCGTGAAACAATTATTGATGCATGTAATACATCTAATTCTTTATCATTAATTAGCCTGTCTAATGCATCTTATGAGAAAGCTTATATTCAATTTGAAAGTTTATTACAAAAGTTTAATTTAACATTGAATTATGATCAATTAAAAAGTCTTCATTTACAATTACCATCATCATCATTATCATCATTAGGTACTACAGGAGATGATGAATTAAAGCCAACTGCTACTACTACTACTACTAATACTATTACTGGGGATAATTTAAAATCGATAAGTTGTGGTACACAAAAATTACATAATTTTCATCATAATTTAGATATTAATAATTTTCCTATTAGTATATTTCAATTACCTCATAGTAAACCTAGAACAAGAATATTAATACGAGTTACTGCTCATCCAATGCCATGTGAATTATTAAATTGGATTGAACATTATGGATCTTCAAAAATTTCTCAGTTAATTCGAGCTTTTAAAAGTAAAGTAAGTTGGAAAAAAATAAGTTCATATATCTCTTATTTTTTTCCTGTATGAACAAATTTATAGTGCTTTAGTCATTATGAACATCAGCTGGCGTCTGCTGGGATCACCGGGTAAGTAATAGTGAGGTTAGACACATGGTATTAGGGAAGGTAAATCAGTTGATGAGGTTGTGAATCTTCATCGACTGAGATGGTTGGGCCACGTGTTACGTATGGCTGAACACCGATTACCACGTCTTGGAATGCTAACCGATGTTGGAGATGTTTGGAAGAAAGTTAGGGGCGGCCAAACCAAAACGTAACATCAGACTTTGAAGTCACTAAATTCTAGTCTGAGCCATGTTAGGAAATGCAGACTACTTGGTTGGGGTCCGCGTGTTTATTGTAAGCAATTATTGAAGACTCTTGGTGACATGGCTCAGAATCGATCACAATGGTGTTGGTGTATACACTCTCTGTCTTCCTTTAAACTATGAGATTAAAATCGCTTCATACCTTTCTACGACCCAATGCTTTCTTCCTGTACTATATCCTTATTGCAATCTCTCTTTTATATATTACCAACTCTGAATTAACTACTTTTATGAATCCGGTGTCCATCTTGTTGTGTTAATGAGGTATGGCAACTTGGACCGATGCATATATGTGGCTGGTCCTTCGTTGTAGCTGACTCTCCCCACTGTCGACTGTACCAGGGCATTTCGGGACATTTAAATAGGTGTTGACAACCTAGTTTAGGTTCACAGGACCATCTTAACCACTAGTTAGATACTTTGAGTGACATGGCATAAAATCGTTTGCAACGGTGAAGGCGCATTTACCCTTTGTCTTCTATTAGACTCTGGGTTCCTAAATGTTATACTTTATTCATACCTACTCTTTTCCTCTAATACTACTACGACTGATACTCTCACTACATCTGCTACTGTGTTATTTAATTTAGTAGTTTTATCTCGCTGTATTTCTCTAATATGACAGTTTGAACTGATGCATTATATATATCAGGTTCTACGTTGTATATGAGTCTGATCTTGTGAGAAAAAAAAAATAATTTTTTTCTCTTTTTAGGCATTAAATTACACTAAACTTTTATCTGAATTTGAGCAACAGCTATCAAATATCTGTTCTCAATTAACATCAAAATGTACTACCGCATGTTCTATCAATTGGAATCAAATAACAACATCGTTGTTAGCTTTTGGACCAAATCAAACTGGACCAAATATATTAATTAGTCATTTAAATACCGATTATTTTCCATTATGTACTGTTTGGGGTAAAAAACTTAATTCATCATTGAATAATTCTACTATACATTTAAAAAATGTAAATAAAAAATCGAATATCAATTTACCAATTATTAGTTATGGTAAAGCATTACTACGAGGTTTTCAACAGGCCACTTTAAAAGGACCACTTTGTGCTGAACCAATGTATGGTATTGTATTTGTATTAGAAGAAATTGTTGCAGAAAGTTTGGATACATTAAAATTACCAAATTATAGTAGTGACAATACTACTACTACTACTACTATTAATAGTAATAATGCTGTTTCTCAAGAAAATAAATCGCATGAATCAAATATTAACTATGAATTAACAACATCGTTACCATTGGAAAATTCAATGCCATCATCTACTACTGCCACTACCTATTCAACTGATAATAAACCGGATAATCAATTATTAAGTAATAAATCTAAACGTAAATCAAAACGATTAACATCCATCTCATGGTTAGATGATGATGGTGATGATGAAATTGAACGTTTTTATCACAGTAGTTCAGAAGAACTTGACCAAGATAGTGATAATGATGATGATGAGAATTGGTGTTCTGATTCTTCAAAAAATGAAGATAGTCAATCTGATCAATTGTCTGACGTCGAAAATTCCAACGTGGCTGTTTTACAGGTAACTCTCTATCTATATATATATATATATATATATATATATATATATATATATATATATATTTCGCTTTTTGTTTTTTCAAAAAAAGTAATTCATTTTATACGTTAAAAACCAGGAGTGACTTTTAAAAGGGTGATATTCATAGGTTATTAGCACTCGACCATAGATGCCTTCGAAGAATTGCTCAAATATGTTGAGATCATTAAGTAATACTAACTTGAGATTCAAGGCAGTAGGAAAATCGCAATGATGAATCTTTACCAACTGATGTGGTTTGGACATGTATTTTGTATCTCGCCTACTTCACTGTGCGATGTTTGTGCTGTAGGAGTAGTTTGGAATTGAACAAAAAGCAACAAACGGATTTTTTGGATCGATCTATGAAGCTGCTTACTGTTGAACTGAATCGTGTTAGTAGGCGCGGATCCTCTACTCAGGATCCTCGCAATTATATTCTAACCAATGCTTAGATACGTTGGTGGCATGGCTTACATTTGGTTGCGATAACGTAGATGGATTCACTCTTTTTTTTCCCTTAAATCTACAGTTTAAAAATTATCTTATAATTTTTTATTTCATGGATTCATTCATTCTCAAACCGTATTGTTGATCCCTAACTTTTCTATTACCACTGATACTGTTACTGCTTCTACTACTTTGGTATCTATTTTGGTAATTTTCTCTCTCTGTGCTGATACGATATCGTTACTTGAACCGATGCATATAAATGCCAAGTTTTATAACGCTTGTAGCTGACCGTCAAACTGATGACCTGGTGAAAATAACTCAGTCTCAGTGGAATAGAAGAACATAATTGAATGTTAAGTAATGACAAGGTATGTTTAAAACCACGTTTTATGCTTAAGTATCGAGAATATCGTAATTTATGGATTTTCTTTTATCCGTTAAGCTGTAAAGCATCAGCGGGAACTAAAAAAAATATCGATTTGATTACTGTATAATACTGTTGATTCATACTCACAAGTCAATTTAGTCACTTAATATTAGTTATTTAACAAATAAAAGTTTATGCACTCGGTCTTGAGCCACACTTTGTGTTGTAAACGTTCAGTTTTTCAGAAAAAAACCAGTAGTGTCTGATAGAAGGTTCCGAACCTTCGTTTTACTGATTAAAAACAGAAGGCTTTGACAACCAAGCAAACTGATCCATAAACTCGATTCTAAAGTTCAATTAGTTGAGTTTCCACTTAATCATGTCCATTATACGTGACGAAAATTATTTCCTGTGTTTACTTTCATTCTTTGATGTTATCTTTTCCTAGAATCCCGAAACGGAAACTTGTTTTGACACAACCAAAGAAATTCCTTATTGGCAACGACGATCCGACATGTCATGGTTACATGATATTCCACCAGGTCTCTTAACACCAGCTATGACACGAGCCTGCATAGCTGCATTTCAATCCTGTCCATTTCAACGCTTAATGATCGCTGTATATGACTTGGAATTACAAGTATGCTTATTAATTATGTATTGAACTGTTTCTATTTCCTTTTTTAAAGTTTTTATTTATTTACTTAATTGTACAACTCATAATATCATTGTCATGTGCTTATTAATTTACATTCCAGTCAAGAATTAATCAATATAGTCACGAATTTGTTATCCATTTCTTTACACCTTGCTTTCAGGCATGAAAACAAATCAAATAGGAAAGAACATACAGTTTAAACTTATGGAAACCAAATCTAAATTAGATTTACGAATTGATTTATGCACACACTATATTTTAGTTGACATTTCATAATATTTTATTCTTTGATCTTCATTTTCCAATTCATTTCTTTGCTTGTCAATAACAGAAATTTCAACTGTTGTTTTCCTAGGCTCGAAGTGATGTTTTGGGACGCATGTTTGGAGTTCTTCGCAGGCGATATGGCAGAGTTGTTGGTGAAGATTTTAGAGAAGGCGAAAATACTTTTGTTATTAGTGCCAGATTACCTGTTATTGAGAGTTTTGGACTTGCAGATGAAATAAGAAAACGTACCAGTGGTGTTGTCAGTCTTCCACAATTACGTCCCGGTGGTTGGGAATTGCTAGATATCGATCCGTTACAAAAAGATATGTCTTCTATAGATAGTAAAGAATCTTTTAGTGAATCGTTTCGCACAAAAGGGGGTTCCAGTAAACTTTTTCGATCGAAACTACCTATCTCAAGTCTTCATGATGGTGGTGGTGGTGATGATGGAACTGATGAAAATATGGATGAACCCACAAGTCGAATATCTAGAGTACAACGATATATTCGAGAAGTTAGACTACGCAAAGGATTACCATTAAATGAACAATTAGTGCTTAATGCCGATAAACAAAGAACGTTAAAAAAGAATAAATAGATATGCTATTTTATAAATAAAAACAACTTGTAAATTATATTTTAGAGTTATATATAATTTTCCATTTGAATAAATCATAATCTGTTTTGATCCGAATTCACATCAATTTTCTATGTATCTTAGTATTTCTAATGACTACTACTAGCCTGATGATTGATTTTCTTGACTTTCTGTAAGGAGCTCCCATTTTCTTCTTAGGTGTTTCTTTTTGAATAATATTATCGCCAATCACTGTTGAGATTGTGACTTAATGAATATTATATTGTTTTCGTTGTGTATTGGATTATAAGATTTAAATCTTATTTACTACATATTCAAATGTTTTCTTTTTGGCGAAACAAAAGCATTATTGATGGATGGCATTCGATCTGCACTAAGGAGGACTTGACACGCATGACATTGATCATCACCCAGTGATCAATCAATTGTGATTACATCTCAGTCTTACAGGAGGTCGGTCGCGGCCCGGATAGCCCAGTGGTAACGTCTCTGACTGTGAAACTGGGTGACATGGGATCGAATCCGTTAGTGAGCACCAGTTCCCTCAGGATTACAGGTACACCTTGCTGACGAGTGCCAAGTAGCACGGAACCCGGGTCCAGGGGATCCTGTCGACTACCTCCAACCACCATCATTATTGACTATTATAATGTACATTGGATATGATTCACAGTTCAGAAAATTAGCTTAACCCTTGGTAAATAAATTATTTATTGATTACTATTTTGTGTAGGTTTTAGTTCATGTATTAATTCTAATCCTTGTGCAAACCGTTAAACTCAAATCCGAGTTTACATTCTATAAATCCATACAGTTATAGTTTGTCATTCAATGGATAATCGAATTAATCCAGATAGACATCAGTCAGTTGAGAAATCATCTGAGTAAATACATGTAATGTACAATTGACAATCGTTGTTGTTAATTCATGTTTAAATTTCATTTATATATTCCACTTACGTATTATCATATCAATATAGGGCAATTTGAAAGTTGCATATATGATGTGTCTTGATTATATGATAATTTATCAATCTGCTGATACATAGTTTGTGTACTGTTCACGTTTCTGTCAGGAGAACTAAAGCTACAAACAAAAACAAATTTCAGATTAAATCGATAGTAATAGCTTTACAGACAAAATTTGTGGCGAGATTATAATTTATAGACAAGCCAACTAGGAGCGAGTGAGCGATTTCAAGGTCATGGTGCCTATTTCAACACCTTTTGCTCATGTATGATCTGTTCACAGCGGATTTCAAGGAGGACGTTATAGTTGAGCGGCTACAACATATGGGATTACTGAGAAGTATCTGTATTTGTGATTGCAGTGTTCAAATGACTGCTGGACATTGTGCAGACTATCGTGACGATTTTGTATTTCGATGTAATATATGTTAGAGGAAAACATCTGCTAGAATGGGGACATTTTTCGTTTGATCCCGATTGACACCAAGACAGATTAAGATAATTGTTGTAAACTGGACAATAAAAGCACCAGTAACACTGGCTGGAACATTTGCAGATTTTACTGAAGCTTCGGGAGTTCAATGGTATGAGTATGTAGTATCAGTTGTTATGTTAAGCCCATACAGCTTATTCTAGCTTCCAGACAGGGCACTTCATTCATTCATCTTGAGTCCCACTTTCACTTTGTTAATTATTCGCTTGGCAACCTTGACTTTTTATGTGAGTGCCTGTGTGTGCATTTCATATCTTACCACATGTCTGTAACCTATTTTTGTCTGACTATAAATATCGATTAACGCCTGATTAAATCGGGTTGTCTCATATACCTTCTCCACTGCGTGTCATTCCGTTTCGCTCAGTCTCCTCGATTGTCCGTGCAGATCAACGATTGTACGAAATAAACGTATTTAAAACTTCGTTCTCGTATTTAACTTATTTAATTCCGTTATTCACTGACGCTATTTTAGTCGATGATTATACACGAGGATTGACGATATGCACATTTCGATAGCAATCATTTATCTGATCTAACTGGAATCAGATATTCCAGGGTCACTAAAAGTACTGTCGAGATATATGCGCAATAAAGATGGAAAGCTTGAATCAGTCGTTTGTAGGAATCGGGCGAATCGTAGAAATTGATGGAACAGTTGTTAGAAAACGCAAATTCAATATAGCAAGATGTGTTAATAAAGACTGAGTAAGTAGCACTTCCTTAAGTAAACTTAGCAGGTCTTTGGTACATTTGATAGATCATCTCAAGAAAGACACTTCCAGCACGTAAGAAACCCACAGGCTACAACGATAATACTAATTATAGTAGAGTATGTGCACCCGGGTACCATAATATACATGGATGGCTAGAGAGCACATAGATGCCTATCTAGACTTGGTTACGTGCTATCTTATCATCGTTAACAAGCGAGATTTTTAAGACTCCACCACGGTAGTATACCAATAATATGGGAGCAATATGGCCGATGCTAAAAGAATTTTTGCGACCTTATCATGGTTCCAGAGACCGACTACTATGGAGTCACATGGATGAATTCCTCTACCGTATACATTACGATTTCAGAACTGCAGAGCCTTTTTCTAACCTCGACAAGTTTCTAGACCATGTTAAAGAAGTTTGTCCTCTAATTTGTTGGTTTTGTATAATATATTACTCTATACTTTTCTGATTGGCTGAAATTTCTCAAGGGCACTTAAGATTAGTTCAAAGGTCGTCCATAAGTTATATTCTCGCCGCAATATGCATCAAAATCAGATAATTTTGCACTTGATAGATGAGTTACATTGTATTATTGATAAAGGTGTTAAGTCAACATCTTCAATACTGAGTCGTGTTGATTATTACTGTTCAAAGTTTAGATTTGAGCATTCTCATTGCTTAAGATTTAAAACCTCAGGTTAATAATAATTTACCTTCCTAAATAAGTCTTCTTGTTTAGATATAGCCATTATCTGTTTGAACTAATCAGTCTAGTGATACATTATTTCTTGTTATTTGACTAATATTTAGAACAACATAGATATAAGTGAACAATATTGTTTTCGATTAGATCCTCATCAGGCTTTACTCTAATATACAGTAATATTTATATGCATATACGAAATTATTAAACCAATCAAGGTAGTTTATAAGTCAATGATAACAATGGAAAAGGATTACATAATAACTAAAATGTGAAAAGTACAAATTGATGGTGTGACAACAGGTGCATTAGTTTTTGATAAGCAATAATAATAAAGGTTCAAATCAATGTTACATAATCTGAAATAGGTCAATGATTAGAAAAATATAGAAACTGAGATAACAATTATAAAATTATAAGATGACGTAATAAGTGAAACGTATAGTTGAGAGAAAATAAAGTTATTTGACTAATAGTCGTAATGTGGGTATGTTTCAATCAAACGATCTCTAATACATGTTTAGATGTTATTTATTTGATAACAAACATTGGTCTAAGGGGCACCAAATACATATGCGCCACACAAAAACAATGAGGCCAGTAGTAATCATTGATTCGTGTTTGTGTGGGGGGCTATGATACTGCTCGGGTGCCCAAGGTTTATATGCCAGTCTTGAGATGGAATATTTAAGGAGTTAACTAATTGTCAACTTGTTTAGAAATAAGTCTGTGAGAGCAGAAATGAAAAGGATGAATAACAACTGGAAAAGGTTGCCCAGAACAGGGTTGAATGGAGAGTGCTGGTGGGCGGCCTATGCTCCTCCACGAGGGGTAACAGGCGTAAGTAAGTAAACGTCTTTGTCAGTTGCACTTAAGTCTTTCACTTGTTTTATTCAATTTATTGTCAGTTATTACTAACGTAGGAAATAGCATGAGCATGGATCAGTCCAGGTGGCCACTAATTGGTGATTCCCTACTGTATCGTATTTTGAACTAAACATCTTAAAATCTCAATCTTGCTTCGATCTCTACGTCATCAGATTTCGTTAAAACGTGTTTTTCTATTTTACTGTAGTATTTACATTCGTTTACTGATAAACTGAATAATTAATCTTTTATGCCTGATATCATTCATATGAATGAAATTATTTATTCCAGTTATCAAACTGTAAAATTTGCATTTTAACATGTTAACTCAGCAAAGACCAGTAATAGCCTTGGAGTTAATTAGTTACAGTATGCTCTTGCCAGCTGAAACAATATGACTTTTCATTTAAACTCATCAATATTTGCTGGATGGGATTTGAAATTAAGAAGTTGTTTATCGGAGTCAGTAGTAATTATGACAAGTAATTTTTTGAATAAATCTTCAATGGCACATGTATGTTATACTGACGGACCAATCAGATTTAGATACAAAAGGGATCAAGAATAATAAATTTTAATGGATGACTTAAAGGTTCTTTATATTTAAAATCAGAAAACTATCTACATTCGTATCAACTGCATCTTGGCTGGCTGTGGGCGGATCTTACTTCGTCAATGTTGTTTCAGAGTTATCAAAGGTCATTTGTACAGTTTGCTAATACTAACATTGAAATATATCAAGCTGAGGTCACCTTCCTATTAAAAACATCTGAAAAATCCATATAGCCCCAGAATGCCGTGGTATGGCCGAGAGTTAAGAAAATCAGCTCTTCCTCTCTGAATACACGCACATGGCCACGTGCATACAACTACTCTCAGGGAAGTCCTACTGACTGCCTTCTCTCAGTACTGCTGTTGTTTACGAAATCGAGAGGGCGAAAAGCGAATGTCTAACGCTTTAACCAAGTTGATGGGTACGGAGGATTCACTTAGGGGAATTGGAAAACCCTGATTCCAAACCAATAATGAACATGGGTCCCAGGATCCTAAGGAAACAAATGGCGTATGTCAGTCTTGAGTGCTGTCAGAGGTATGAGAGCGGTTATCACTTCCCGGTTGCCCACACCGTGGAAGGGTTGTTCTGGAGGTACCTGAAAGGGAAATTGGATTAGAGGTGGTCTTAGTGACCGCAGTGCCCATGGGACAACTGCTTGAGGTCGGTCACACACGACCTTTTTATGGGTAATTTTTGTGTTAGCTCCGTACTTGTTGAGACCTTACTGCCGGAGACGGATATCCGTGGGATAAGGCGAGGTGTACATTTTTAGGGTGGACCTTTTCTAACCCCACCCCTCCTTGTGGGACGACAGCATCGCCGTCATGCTGGTTGTCTGAAGGAAACACCTTACTGCTGTCACACCTCTGTACAGAGTCAGCAGTACGACTTCGCCTTCGGACCTTAGGTTTGTTGCTTTTAGTCTTACCGCTCTTCAACCGACCTGTCTGACATGGTAGGACCTTGAGAAAC